AAAAACAAAAAACCGTCAAATTTTTTTAAGAACAAGCTAATTAGAAGTCTGGAAATGCTGGTATGTCAAGTGGCAACCTGGCAAATTTTGCAACTTTGAAACGGTTTAACTTGATGGGGATTTCACTTTTGCAGGTTTTCATCTGCTTTCTTTATACTGTCCTACACTCTACTAATCAGCAAAATTTAAAAAAGTCTGAGTTATGAAGGGGAAAGAGTGTGCCACTCCATGTAAAGTTTCACACTTTTGTCAGTCGACCTCTCAAATATTTTTCATTTTTTGTCTATTTGTAGCGCTCGACACCGCATTATGGAATCAAAAAATTTTATCTCAAAAAGTGGGCTGGCGGCAACGCTAGACCGTTCTAAAGTGCCAAAAAAACCCGCTATCTTTTCTTAACATGGTCACCTTCAAGAACTTTTAGCTATACTCATTCACGGTGAATTTTTATAATTTTTAATTTATTTGAACGCCTGTCTTTTGCAGATCCGGAAAAATGATGAAATGCTTACACATACATGAATCCTTTAGCTTACTTTTTAAAAAATAACAAACAAAACAGTATCAAGCTTTAAAATAGAATTTTTACCTATAAATAGGGTATAAATACTTTTTGATATAAAAGCGAAAGCTGCGAGACAGCATACAGCAGAAATAAGAAAGCCAATGATGATTTAGTAATGGTTATAAAGGCTATATCAGTAACTCTGTCACTTATACCCCATCGGATGTCCGGTTATCAAACAGCAAGATTGCTTAGTCGACTGAAACCATACGAGATTCAAAAATTTTGCTTGTCATTCTATTGTTACATGTTAAGTTCAGAAAAAAAAACAGTGTAAAATATAGTTTTTCAACGACAGTTGATCAGACTAAATTTCTACTTCTCTAAAGTGCGCTCAGATTCAAAATGCTCGGGCGCTGATTCTGGTAAGTTAAATTTGATAAACAATAGTATTGCTATTGTAAATGTGAAAGGCAGAGCTTATATGAGAAGCATTATTAGTCTCAAATTTTTCATA